TTAGTGATACGATACTTTTGGAGATATAATGAAATACCGCCTTTAATCTAAATATAGAGTAATCTAGATTAGTAGGTTTATAATTATCGTCTCGGTAGCTGTTTTGTAAACGCTTTTCTATTACCCCTTCTGTTGGGTGAATTCTTTTTATAAAATTCCGATTTTTCGTTTCATATTTCTGTCCTTTTTGCCTCATATTTTTAGGGGTGTTTCACATGCTTTCTATATGTGTATTATAGAAACCTAAAATGATCAAACTACCCATCGTGTGTCGTGCACATTGCCACTTTAACAGAGAGATTTGAAACGGAGTTAGATTTAGAGACCAATGTGTTATAAATGCAAACCACAAGGATGCAATCCATATCTATTTCAAAATAGATATCCATAATGTTAAAGTACATAAACCAAAATTTGTAATTTAAGGGGTTATTTGGCAATCGCTGAATAGTTTGGTGCATAATGATTAAGTGGTCATAATAATTAAGAGGCTCTCATGTTATAGTGCAAATGAAATATAATTGTTTGGTAATTGTTTACAATGAAATTAGGGCGCTGAATGATTAAGAGAGGTTTGAGATATAAAATCATCCAAAGAGTTTTAGAACCATTAAGAGATAGATTTTTCTTTTGTGATTGTGAGACTTGTATTCGATCATAGATAGACAAGGATTTTCGTTATAATGTGTCACGTTAAGGGTATAACTACTTAGATGTTAGTATTTCAGTTGACATAATTGTTGGATCCATCTCGTAATCCATGAGTTATCGAAGTGAATGAACGACAACCTTAATTGAATCATGAGATTTGCTTTCGTCATATGATCTATAGCTCGACATTGTAACCAAGTTGATCCAGTTGGACCAATTTTATGTTTGTGACGAATATGTCTTTTTCCATGCTACGCAGATTTTCCACATGTCATTTCAACATTAAATTCATTCTACTCTAAGAAGGGTGTGTATCTTTTACATTGCATTTCTCTGTTCGCATTCAACAGAATTACCAAATTATAATTATGTGAAATCGGGACTTTGAAGTTATGGTCAAGGATTACCTCGATAATGTATTCAGGAATCGAAGACATGACTTGAGAACCACCGGCTTCAGACCCGAAAATGTTGGAATTGCGTGAAACCATTTTCCAATTGAAGCAGGAAACACAAAAAATAAACATGAAATAATCTTGAAAAATAAAGTTTATCGAACAAAAAAATATAATGAAAATTAAAAATCGTAAACCTGAAAACGTTCACACTTGCAAGAGAATGGCGAGAGAAAAATCAAAAAGTTAAAACCAAAAAGTCATGTCAACAGTAACTTCATTAACCCAACGAAGCCCGCTAGTTAAATGGGTATCAGATCGATCCCAATAACTGTTAAAATATGCATTATAGTTTTCTGTCAATCCGATCGATACGTATTAATTTCTTTTATTTGATTTATTCTGTTTAGGACCAAGATAAAAGGTTTCTTCTTAGAAAATTGTAGTTTTATCTACGTTGAAGGGTTGTTTGATTAATCTGATAAAAAGTCTATGGCTATGATGTATTGTGCTTACAATGTTGGAGATTGGTCAAGGGTAGGATCAATATGTGAAGTAGTAAATGTGTAAATGTTGTATATATCATTGCCTTTGAGAGATTCATGTCATGTTCATGTGCAGAAGGTCATCCAATCCGATTCAAACCGATCGATTTAATTAGAACCGACCGAGCATAATCGGTTATCAAATTGTAATTAAAGAATTTAAGATCCAACTTCCTACTAGTAACATGCTAAGTTGTGTCAAAGACCTTCCAGCCTAGTGGTAAAGACTTGGGCATGGCATAGTCATGAACCTGAGTTCGAGCCCTGGGAGGGAAGTGTTGGCGACATTTAAGTGAGGCCATGTTTAGCCTCCAAATTTGCCGGGGATTAGTCGGGCTTTGGCCCGGACACCCTTACAAAAAAAAAAAAAAAAACATGCTAAGTTGTAACTCTAAATAGAAAATGTTTAGCTCCCGTTTGATTTGCAGTAATGGAATGGATTTATGGGGATTTGGTTTTCAAATTCATTCTAATTACAGTTTGTTGGATTTGAAATCTTATAAATATAGGATTTTTGAAATTCTTAAGGAGTGTTAAGGATTTCACATAATTGTATGAAATAACGTTTTAATGGATGTTAAAAAAAATATTTTGTAATAATCAATTAATAAAAATGTAATTTAATTATTTATAAGTTTTTTTTAAAATAATGAAAATCAATTTCATTCCAAATCCTATAGATCAAACACACCAATGATTTCAAATTCATTCTAATCCAAGCCCCTCCATGAAATTCAAATCCCTGAAAAACAATTCTGCAAACCAAACGGACCCTTAATATTCCTCCAGAAACTTTTGGAGATGTTCTCACGTTTAGGGCTCGTTTAATTACCAAACGTTAATTGGGTTAATGTTTACTGGATAGAAGTTAACACCTTCACATACCTCAGTGAGTAAGGATCTTGACCATCAAAATAGCATGGTAAAGTTGTAGGTAAAAGTTTTTTTTGCCGTATAAGTGTCAACCGGGTTAGCGTTGCCATCTGCACCTGTCGAGTAAGATTCTCGATCATTGTCATGCCTCTTACCACATAAGATTCTCATTACGTGTCATACTATCCCGATAAGGTAAGTGAAGTTAAAATCTTATGTTGCCAAGAAATGTTAAAAGTCCTCTTAGAGTGGGGTAAAATCGTTGGCAAGCAGTGTAGAAAGTATGGTTTCTTCATATCTAGGACATTCGTTGTTTGTTACTTGTTCCCGAAGCAATTTGATTGCGTGAATCACCGATAATTGTGATTGTTTAACCTTAATAAGTTGTATAAGCTTTTACAACTTTGTTCATGAACTTATGTTGCTTTTGATGGATTGTATGCCACTGGCGCTCTCTTTAAACGTTAATCCTGACTCCGCCCCTATGTCGTAATTGGTTACGTTTAAGTCGAAAACGATCTTTGATCAGACCGGGAATCGGTTTGAGTGAATTACTTACTGCAGTCAAAGCCAATAAAAAAGTTAGGGGGCATTTGGTTCGCAAAATGTTTTTGAATGGAATAAGGTATGTTGAAGGAATTTGACTTTGAAGAAAATGGAATGTGGTCAGGTTTGACCACATGTTTGGTTGGTAGACGTTGAAATGGAATCTACTGGGGAATTGAAATCTGTCTATTTGGCTTACAAAGGAATTGGAATGGAATAATGAAAAATGACATAAATACCCTTTCTTTGATATTTTTTAATTATAAAAAAATAGTTATAAAATTAAATTTTAATTGAGTGAAATCAAAATCATGTATCAAATTCCGTGGGATAAAATCGTAGAGTTTCTCATCGTCATCATCGTCACTGTCAAATAATTGTAGAGAATGGGATTCATAAATTGTGGTGGGTGAAGGAGTCTTCGACAAAATCGTGAAGGAGTCCAGAGGAAGAAATCGATTGTGAAGGAGTCTATATGAAGAAATCGATCGTGAAGGAGCCCAAACTTCAATCGATGAAGGAGAGTAACCAAAATAATTTGTCGATGGAATCCAGACTTCGATTGTGAAGGAGTTTAGCGGCTAGGGTTTTATCTTTCAGTGAGGGTATTTTTGTCATTTTGAAAATACTGGTTGAAATGGATTTCAATTCCATCACTTTTGTGAATGAATGATCAAATCCACATTTAAGGGAATGTTTGGAATTTAATTTCATTCTATGGGTAACCAAACGTCTGAATGGAATTTGGTCAACGAAATTGATCATTCAAATTTCATCAGATTCCGCCAGAATCCGACGAACCAAACTCCCCCTCAGGTGAAGAGAGAATAACCCTTTCAACGGATAAAAATTATCTGTCCTAAATTTTTAGACCTGGTCTATGTCCGCCAATTATATGAATACAATTAATGAGAAAGAAAATACAAAATGAATTTTTAAAAAAATGTATAAAAAACTGATATGTCTTATTATGTAAGCCCAATAATTTCGTTACGTTTATCAGCCCACGCAACATCTCCATCACCATATGGTCTGTATCTGTAATGGATTAACATCCACCTCAAAAATCAAACTGCCGTTAAGTTGAACATTTTTTTGCCCGCCATTTTCTCTCTAACCACATCCATGGCGTCCTTCGCCCTTCCAATCTTGATTCTTCTTGGCGGTATGATTTTCAAATTCCACTCGGTAATGGCTATTCATTTCAATCAAGGACTGGAGTTTAGTCCTTTGAAATCTCCGATTGAGTTGCCGGTTGACAATAATTCTTCTACTCCACCACCACCTCCACCATCGCCTCCACCGCCTTTAACTCCATCGCCTCCACTGGATTCACCGCCTTTAACTCCAGCACCTCCACCTACATCGCCTCCATACCCACCACCTCCATCTCCATCTCCACCGTCGCCTTCTCCGTCTTCACCTCCACATCCACCTACACCTAGACCTAGACCTAGACCTAGACCTAGACCTAGACCTACACCTCCACTTGCACTTGCACCTGCACCATCACCACCACCACCACCACCTCTATTACCGACATCGCCTCCATATCAACCACCTCTATCTCTATCTCCATCTCCAACGCCTCCTTCTTCTTTACCATCTCTACTTTCACATTCACAGAGTCCGCCTCCACCTCCACCGCCTGCTTCCCCGGTTAGAGCACTATTCGTTATTGGCGACTCTTCTGTTGATTGTGGAACCAACAATTTCTTGGGAACTTTTGCACGTGCAGATCGTCTTCCGTATGGACGTGATTTTGATACACACCAACCCACCGGACGATTCTGCAACGGAAGAATCCCTGTTGATTATCTTGGTAATTGATTAACTCCTTTATAACATCTAATTCTTGATTTCCAGTTTGTTACCAAGAAAATTGATTAGTTACATTTCAGGTGTTTGACTAAAGGTCTAGCTATTTGGGAACCTTTTTCAAACACCATATTCAGTTGAGTTTTTTAGAAATTGGTTCTTGGGTACTTTCTTGATAAAAAATATCCGTTCCAAAAACGATTAAACAATGCTTTGTTGGATATGGTACTTCCCAAGTTCAAGATTGATATGGGTTTCTTGTAATTTGAGATTCCAACAATTTTTTATTTCCTTTTTCAAGTTTGTGAATGTGTGTTCTAAGAATTTTGCTCATTTTCATCAGCACTGCGTATGGGGCTTCCCTTTATACCAAGCTATCTAGGTCAGACGGGCTCTGTCGAAGATATGATACACGGTGTCAATTATGCGTCTGCTGGTGCAGGGATCATCTTCTCTAGTGGATCAGAATTGGTATTTTAAGAACTAGATTTTGGTTCTATTTCTTTGTATATTGGGTCATAAAGGATACAATAGACTCATTGATCAGACTCGAATGATTTGCAGGGTCAACGCATATCCTTTAGCCAGCAAATTCAACAGGTTATAGACACCTTTCAACAGTTCATAATAGGAATGGGGGAGGAAGGAGCTGCTAGCCTCGTCTCAAACTCGGTGATCTATATGTCAATTGGGACTAATGATTACATACATTACTTTCTTCCTAATGTATCTGGCGTACAATCTAAGTATGTATCATGGAAATTTAACCAGTTCTTAGCCTACACAATGAAGCAGGAGATAAGGGTAATGAAAAGCCTTGATCTTCCTAAATCTCTTTATTGAATCTGTTCTTTTAGATATGTTTCAAGAAGCTAGACATTACAAGCTTTAGATCTTATTCATGTTAGCCATTTAACATTCTCATTTTGTGGAAAGGAAGATGGGACCAGGGAATAGAAAATCAAGTTCAGAACAAAAACTTGTTGTCCCATGTATTGTGCAGCAATATACTGCCACAAGACATGACTGACCAAAATACGTAGAGCAAAAATCAGGAAGATGAGACAAGATTTCTAAATTATAAAAATATTCATGGCGGATCAAAACCCTAAAACAAGTTCACTCTTGTTCGTCCAGTCCTGGCCCATCATATCCGGTTCCATCTACATACCAGATACATAAATGAATCCTTCCTATGTGATATTTGAACCCATTCCCTACTAATTTCTTTCCACACACATCAACATCAAAAGATTTTACATTTCCAATGCAATCATTTAACCCAAAGGAGATTCAGATAGTAACATTCTACTTAATACTGTATTGGTGATGCAGAATTTGTACAATGCTAATGTGAGGAGAGTGGTGGTGATGGGGTTGGCTCCTATCGGTTGCGCCCCTTACTACCTGTGGCAATATGATAGTGATAATGGAGCCTGTATCAAGATGATAAATAATATGATATTAGAATTCAACTTTGTTATGAGATTTACCGTTAAGGAGCTTCGTAAAGAACTCACTGATGCCAACATAATCTTTTGTGATGCTTTTCAAGGTTCGATGGACATCATAAAGAACTTTGACCAATATGGTAAGATTATTGTTTCTTTCTTCAAAATTGTCAAGGAAAGCAAAGAAATGAGTCATTCCAAATCGACATATCTTTCCTTTTTCAGGATTTAGTGTGACAACTTCAGCTTGCTGTGGTTTGGGGCGATATAACGGTTGGATGATGTGCATTTCACCTGGAATGGCTTGCGATAATGCTTCTAATCATCTATGGTGGGATCAGTTTCATCCAACGGCTGCGGTGAATGAGATTCTGGCCGATAATGTGTGGTCTGGATTGCACACAACAATGTGTTATCCTATGAACATGAAGGACATGGTGGCTCAGATCAGATGAAGCAGTTCTCAGGTTTTGCTGAATTCTACATACCTGGATGTTCTTTGACACTCAAATCTTTGGAAGTTACCTAGTCTTTTTGACATATTTGGGTAGAAAAATATCAATAATGTGGATAACAAAGTTTGTATATATACACTAGTTGGTAGACATGTATGATGCATACACACTCTCATAAAGACACATTTAACCATGAAAAAGGATTAAACATTCTTGTCTTGTGTTCATGAAAAAGGATAATGTTGGAGGCTTTTCCTTTCTAATTACTATGGGTATCCGGGACGACTTGTGTCTGTCAGTGTCACCACTAATTCCATGGGGCTATGAAGATAACAGAAAATTAATTTGCAGTGGCTTTTAGAAGACTTAAACCTCATGTTTGTCATGCCTTAAGCTAGTTTGATATTGAGCTTATTCAAAAAGTCATTTTGACACATGAACAAGGTCTTAGTAACTAAGCACAAAGTGACGAAGAGCTCCGGGTCATAAACTTTTTTAGATGTCATATATGATAGCGTTCCAATGTGCAACAATTAATGCAACCATTGGCAGCTTTTGTTTATGTATTTATATCATATCCGACCAAAATCTCGTTGAAAAGAGGTAAATGACTATTATACCATCTCATTTAACTTTAAGTTTAAAAATTCTCAAATGAAAAATATTAGTTTACTAATGAATATAAAAAATGTAACATATAATTTATAATACAATACAATAAAAAATATTACATAATAAAAAAATACAAATTTAACACAAATAAAATTACATTATTGTTCATTTAAAATTTCTTGAAGTTGATGTTTGTACAATTTCTTTTGTGGTTGGATCATTATTGTGAGATCAATTTTCATCAAATTCATGATTATTTTCTCATTGGAGTTGATGTTTTAACATTTATATAATGTTGTGTGTTTAATATATTTTTTCGTTTTTTATTAATTAATTAATTAATTATACGTAAATAGATTAAAATTGTATAATACATTAATTTTCTTTTATTTCTTAATACATAATTATAAACATTTATTTATTGAATCAAAAACACTTTAATTTATGATTTTATTTTACTTTACAATAATTATTTAATTAATAAATTATTTGATATTAATTTATATTAAAAAATGTCTAATTGTAGTTTTGTTGTTATTTGATTAAAATAGTTTTTCATAATAATGTGTTATTCAGGAAATCATTGTAATGAAGGATAACTTTTAGATAATTTCTAAAGTTGACGCGATACTTATTAAAAATTTGTGTTATAAATTGTGTTGTAGTAGATGGTGGACCGAATATGCAATATAGATATATACAAGGACTATTTGTGCAACTTTTTGAATATTCTAAAACCTACTGCATCCTCACATGTGGATTCCCATTATATACGCACACGGTCTTCTAGGGTTTCAACGTTAAACCCCCAATTCAGATAAACGCCGCTTTTCCTTGGAAAACGATCAAAATTTAATTGGATCGTTTTTAGTGCTTCGTTAATGGTGTTCATGGATTTAAAGACTTAAATAAACACGATTACAATAAATTTTTTGATAGTTATTAGGTATGTTTGTTTGATTTAACGTTTTCGGAGCTTGAGATGATGATGGAAATGGTTTTCCCTATGTGGTTCGATTGCTAATATGATGGCGACAATGTATTAGCTCTATCGATCTCTACTCTCCTAAAGAGAGAAGATGGTATGCGAACTTTGTTTTCATATTTAACATGTCAGATTGCACGTAATTGTAAGATAACAAAGAGGTATGATTTAAATTTTGAGCAATAAAAACACCACATTTCTTCGATAAGATGACTTATTTGATCTGGGAACTGATTAATTTGAGCAATAAAAATCACAAATTTCTTTTCTAAGAATGATTTCTTCGATTGGAGAATGGATTAAATATTTACCTTAAACTCGCCATGTTTGAAAATATTTGGGAATTTGAAGACAAGGACTAAAGTTGTTATATACAACTGAAGTGGGCTAGAAATGAAAAAATTTTAAAATGTAATTTATAGAAATGTAATTTTTTTTAAATGAAGTATAGTATAACCGGTCTGGGTCCCGACCTCGGGCCGAGCCAGACCTTGGGCTTGAATTTTCATAAAAATCGTAATTGGGGTCGGTCAAGTCTGGTCCCGGTCCTTATCTGTCATAATCAATCTCGATCCTGGACTAGGCCAGCCCATTTTGGGCTATAAATGATATTTTCCTTTCAGATTCTCTTTACCTCCCGTTCCACATTTCGGAGGAACCATAAATGATATTTTCTCTCGTATTTATTTCCTTCCTAAAAAGCTTAGAAAATAGATGGTGTTTTTGTTTTCCCCTCCTTTTCGTACCTTTCCTTCTAAGACAATGTCTCGATAAAACAATGTAAGTGTTTAGGTCGCACGGTTTGGCTAAGTACAAAAGCTTATAAAACAAACGATCAAGAAGGTAAACTCGGCACATTTTATCAATTTCATTGGCATGCTTGATGATTCATTGCATGCAAACCATATGCTTGATTGTTCGTTCCATAAGTGAATTGATACAATGACATAAACGACCCCTTTCTACAAAACACATGTGGTTAACGAACAACCAAAAACAAGAAAACGAGCATTACCTTTGATCCATTGGGAACAAGCTGTCGGAGTTCCTTGATAAGATCTTGAATCAGTTGTCTTATCTATCTCTCGCCCTTGGTCTACAGCTTTCACCAGGTCTGGCTCTTTTCTACCCAACCTTAACCGGTTTTTGGGACCTCTGATCTACTAACACTTGTCGATGAGAAGCCTTGCAAACGCTCAAATGAGTTACAAACCGAACCATTGGTTAGCAAATAGCTTGGAGGAGGCTGCAACAGTTGGAGGGGATTGACCGATTAACCAAATGACGTTGACCCTTTATCGTCACTATCGTTGCAACAAACTTTAGTCACAACTGCTTCCAAGAGACGTTCATAGCCGGATCTTTGTGTTAAGAGATCATTACTGCTCGTTCCTCCTGACATCTCATCAACATTAACGGTCTCGGTTGTCATTGTCTCCCAGTCGAAACTATTCTTGTGCTTATAAAACGCTGGTCCTAGCTAGGAACTTGGAAGACTTTAGTTTCTATTTGGCCATTTAATATTGTGGGCATGAACAAGTTCCGATTTCGATCGTTGCCAGGTGTAGATTGGATGAAATCTGATAACAGGTTTTCGCTTTCTTGATGATTGTTTCAACTGTTGACCATGTATTTGGCCTGTTATTCTCCATCGCTCTATCGTGATTGTTTATAGGCTTGTGAAATCTGCCCGATACTGAACTCATGGACAAATCCGTCTGGAAAACGATTACATAGTAAGATTTTAGACGTGATTGTATTTCAATTCAATACAACAAAAAAAAATATTTATAAGACACTAAGGGGCCATTTACATAAACACTTACCCGATAAGCACTTATCGGTAAAACAGGTTGTGGGAGAGCAATACAAGCGTCGTGCTGCTAGGCAAAGCAGTAGAATGTTGTACCCTAGATGGCGATAGTCCAGACAAGCAATGGAACCGTAGATTGTCAAGTGAAATCCAATCCACGAAATAATTTGATTTATGGACAACGTCATTGTGGTAAAGATCGTCCATAGTGGTATCTCACTGATGGCTCGGACCCCCTCGGAAGGAGGCCTTCCCCTCTTGAAGTATCAACTAGTGGATGAATAACCCTATTAGACAACCTGCCCCCTTCTCTTTTCTTTTTTAATATTATATTCAATGTGCGGGTGATAATGATATATAAAGCATTCTTTTTAGAATTTAGATGTATTTGAGATGTTAAAATAATACTTTGAAATATTAATTATCTATACTATATTATAAAACATTTGACAAAAACTCTTATAAACATTTATTATGTATAAAGTACTGTTTATTGATGCATATTACTTAAAATTCAAGATTACAAGTAAATTGTGCATCAGTACAACTTATTAAAGCTTTGTGTTTGAATTCGTGTAACTAACTGCAGATAAACATAATCAAATAGAAGATAAACATCTCATTTTAAAATATAAAAAATCTAAAATATAATTAGGATAATTATTGAGTTATAACAAAATATTTAATTATTATCTTTATAAAAAAATATATTATTAAACCTAAATTAAGTAATAATAATATATTACTAATATTACTAATATTGAATTAAAACTTAATTCATAATAAAAAATTTGAATTAAAAAAAATAAACAAACAAGACTGTTAAATAGTTAATTTGATATTAATATTGATATATTTTTTTGCAAATTTTATATGATATTTTCAAATTTATATTTTATTCTAAAATTGAAACATTATTGTTTTTTCAAAATAACATAAAATCGTATTATATCAACATGGATAAAAAATAAAACATAACATTGAAATAAAAATGCGTCTCGATACATTGCACGAGTACCCTTCTAGTTTAGAAAGAAAAGAAAATACAAAGTTTTAGAGTGGAATTTGGATACTTACAACCTTGGTGGTCAAAGTAAGAATCCACAAACTTAAGGGTGCATTTAAATAAACCCTTTATTCTACAATTAAAACAATCGGCTTCTTCCTTTTGATTACAAAGTCGAACCGAACGAGAGGAAGAGAGTTGGAAGAACACGACCAAGCAACAAAATAGAGAGATCGAAGGATTCAAGTTGGATTTGGAGTATAAATCAACCATAAACTTGAATGATAGCATTGTTGTTCAAAGAGATGAAGAGTGAGTCGATTTGGGGTTTGGGTCTTGATATTCAAGCAAGAATTTAAGGTATGTATTATACAACTAAGCTTGAATTTAGTTTATATATGGGTTAGTATGTTATTTCAAGTTGTTGATTATGTTTCGACATGATTTTGATTTCCAAATTGTTGTCTTCAACCTCAAGGGATAGTTTAACCCGTTTTTAGGGTTCATAATTTGAAATTGATGTAAAGAACGGAAAGATACTTGATGTGATTAATTCTAGTTGCCACTCCATCCATTCATAAAAAAAGATCTTCATTGATCTTTGAGTTCAGGTAGTTGTCCAACAGGAAATTGGTGTGTATTTTCAATTTCGGTTTACAACTCAGCAAATCTAACCCCAAAACTATCATGTTAAAGAGCTGAACATATTTCTTACAAATTTGTAGGAAAGCGTAGAAAGCCTATTTGTACATGAAGATGAAAGTTAACTTGTTCGAGTGGTAATACTTTTGAATTTCCTTTAATTTGGCTGCTTCATAATTGATGCTTCAAGTATATTCATGTCAATGACTTGTTTCAGTAACGATTGGTTCTACCAGATAAGTCAAAGCTGAATCTAATCTCTTGAGGGTGGACGATTTATCCCCTCATGGCTTTGGTTAATAGATAACATGGTTTGGTTACTAAAAGTTTACCTATCAATGCTGGTTTTCTTTGCTGAGATTTTAAGGATACATTCCCTTCTCTTTCTTTACACTCTAATTAATCAAAATGGGTTGTAGCTTATTGATATCTTTGGTGGCATTTTTGTTACTCTATAATTCGTGAATAAAGTAACAGGTTCGATTATAGTTTTTTCCTTAATTTTCTGCCTTATCTTCTGAGGCACAAACTTTTTTGTACATTTGTTATTGGTTTTAAATCTTGAATACATATATTTTTCATTTTGCAGATTTCATCGTCGATGATGGATTCTAATACTGGTAATACATCTCAAGATGCTAGGGCCATTGATGACCGTGATGAAGGTATTAATATTGACACTTAACTCTTTAGCTTCAGTCGATAGTGCAAATATATTATAAAAAAATTGGAACGAACATGTGTGATCATATGTAAGTTGTTTTTGAAATATGTGTACGATTTTTGAACAATAAATTATAGAATGTGCATGACTTGCAATTATTAGTTACAATCAAGGGTTGTGAGTCATATTGCAACACATGACAATATAAAATAGACATGAAAAGAGATAGTCATAAGTATGAGATTTCATATATTTGATACTTCTATGTGTAGGTTTTCTAAGCCCTGATTGTTTCACCTGTTTATTAACTTTGGATGAGTTTGATTGTCAGCCTATATCGACTAGTGCAATAAGAGCAATAATATTTGTTGGAGTCCTATAACGGCTAGACTTGGACCATTCTCCGGTATATATGTTGGAGCCCCTCCTTACTCCAAAGGGATCTTTTGGAGAGTAAACTTGGGGGTTCCACATATTTTTCACATGGTATCACAAGTCTGCCACTCTACGGGACTGACACCCTGGCTAGGCCCCTCTCGACACTCTTGGACAATCTGTGTCCATCTAGCCTCTATTGGAGGGGGCGTGTTGAAGTCCCACATTGGCTTTACTTGGACCATTTCTTCTGTATATATGTTGAAACCTCCCTCCTCCTCAAAGGGCTCTTTTGGAGAGTAAACTTGGGGGTTCCACATATTTTCACAATATTATTACAATGTAAAGATGTTTTAGATGATTAATGCATACTAAATGATTCGTGGTTTTGATCACTACTTTATATACACTGGTTTTGAATTCCTATTTCCTCTCACATGGACTATATAGAGGATGATTATTTGTTGATGAAAGAACAGAAATGGATGATTATTTATCTGATCAATGGAAAATTTGGGAAGCTAGCATCATAGTTAATTATCCTTGAATTAGTCTAGAGGGAAGATTATGCTTTTATTAGGGATGGTTGCAATATGATGGGGATGAAGTTCTACTTTTGGCTAAATAAGCTACTCTACCATGTAGAACATTAATTAGAACTTCGACATGTGAAGTTGTCTATCCTAGGTGATAAAAGCTAGCATGTGCTAGAATTAGATGAGCCACCCCATGTTGTTCATCGTGAAACACATTAATAAGAGAGAAATAGGAAGCAATCTTAGCATTATTATTGTTGCAAAATTAAATGTAGTCAGTACAAATGGGAAGTAGGATAGTATTTCGTGGTCAATGTATTATGTATGATTGAGGAGGTCTCTCATCTTTTTCATTTGGGGCCATTTCATAGTTGCAAAAGATAGTGCCACGGAGTATCAAATCTCTAATCACTGTTGGGTTCAATAATTTTGTTGTGGATAGGGAACTTCTGAATTTGCCTTGGCTGTTTGTCTTGGAGTACTTGCCCATGCATTATGGATGCTTGTGTTTGTTTTACCTTTTGTCCTTGTCCCCTTATTAAATAATGTTCATATGTTGAAGATGTATCAAGTACTGCTTTGTTCATTCGTTGTGGTTGTATATGACGTCCATTGTAATATTTTTCATATGCTAACTAGGATTCTAAAATTTTAACTGGCAGATGATGATGATGAATATGAAGAGGCTCGTGATGGCAATCGTCTTTTAGAATTCATGTTTGGAAATATTGATGGGTCTGGTGATCTTGATATTGATTACCTTGACGAGGTATCTATTCTTTCTTAATATTTGTTTATATCTTTGTATATATACTTCTTCGGTGATGAATTGATGATGTATTCAACTCTTCAAATCCATCCGAATACATACCTTTCAACCTGAAAGTTGAGGAGTGTTAAACACATAAGTAAAGTTTGTCAATGACTTATTTGTCCTTGATATATTTATTTATAGTAGTGGGGTTCCTATGATAGGGAATACAGACCAATTTGAAATCAGAAGTTACCATTGGCATCTGTAATATTAAAGTTTGGAATCAAAATACATATACTTATAGAAATATGACAGTTAGTTTTGTGATAGAAGTACAAGCTTAAAATTTCATCATGGAGATGCATGCATACTTAGACTTCTGCAACCGATATTTTTCTCTGGAAGAAGGTCGCAACAACAATACCATTTTTAAAGCTCATGTTAAATTTAACATTGACTCGGCATTTTTCGGTTTCTTTTTTTTTTAAATTTCATAGCAAATCTGTTGTCTTTTGGTGAGAACTGCTTCTTGTTGTTACATCAGAGGATTAACGCTGTCAATGTTACTGCTGATTGAATTGTTTTTCTGGAAATTTTTGGCATTCACATATATTTACGTTGACCTTTCATCATATTACTGCATTTCTTTCTTTTTTCTTTGGTTCTAAAGGCAAAGACTTGGGTCCAAATCATGTATCTTTGTATAGAATTTTCTTTCATCACATTTGAGTGATTCCTCACTTGTTCCTTGGAAACATAGTTCGGCACTAGGTCAATAAGGTTTTTGCCTGCTTGATACACATGCTCTTCTTCATCATGCTCTTTCAAAAAAAAGGAATGATAAAGGAAGTACAATAAGATGAAGTGGCTTGATACAATTAAGTTGACATGTGTTGTATTCAAATAAGAAAGTATCAAGATCATTTGCCAAGATAGACCAGCATGCAACACATTTGGTCTTGTTTTTCTCTTCTCAATCGTTATTATCAACATCCACAACCTATTACAGGGGAAGTGTATCCAACTAACCTAAAATAATTTACTTTAGCAGCTAGAACATTCAGCCCGAAATATGCACTTCTGGCAGTTGATTATATCAAGATATTATTAAGGAGATACATGAACTTTGCAAAAGACTCTGGGATCCCTGGCATAATAATGAAAGATAATTTGGATGTGGTCAAGAATCAAGATTTTAGCTCACATCTCAGAGCATAATCTGTCTACTATTATACCAGCTTGTCATTTGTTACTGTTTTATTTTTTCTTTCAGTTATGAGATGCTCTAACTTTTAAAGGTTGTTTGGGTGTGAAAGCTGGGGTTGTCGGTGGGTTATGTAAGAGATAGGGGGAGAGAGTTGGTGACATGTTTTATCCCAGTTCGGTTTAGTTGTATGTAATGGCTCTATTTAGTTTTAATGTGAGCCTACAAACAGGATGTGGTTTAGTGGTCATAATGGCTATGTTTGTTATACTTGTTTGGCTGCTCGACATATTTTCTTAGGATCACATGGAAGTGCATTTAGGTTATAATCTTGATTACCCGCTTTAACTTATGATCTACGTAATATTACATTCTATGACCCTATTGGACATCCAGGTTATTCTTTTTGTCAATGCTTATTCAGTTTAAACTTCATGTAACCTTTCTTCTCTAGTATTTCACCACAGCTTGATCTTAACTTTTTACAGGTCTATGCGATGTGACTATTTTCTGTAATCGACTGCATTGGTTAATTATTACAAAGATCAACCAGGGATACTAAAACCATAGTTTTATTTCTCAGGATGCAAAGGAGCATCTTGCTGCACTAGCCGACAAGCTTGGTTCATCATTAACCGATATCGATGTACAGACCTACCATCAACTTGCTTCAGCCTGAGCTCATTTATTACTATAGTTATTTACAAGTTTCCATGTATTTTGTTTTTGCACAGGAAAGTGTGAGAAGAAGTTTAACTATTTTGATATCTTCCTCTAACTCTTTGTTCTTTTTTTGTCAACATTCAGTTGTCAGTAAAAGCATCACAAAGATCTGTCGATACTGCTGAACAAGGTGACGTCTAGGCTTAGAACTCTAATGTAGTTGCCGGTTTTCTATTTGTGTCTTTGTTTTTCATCTTTAAGATTTTATTCTCCTTTAGATGTTCTTTAAGCAAGGATCTGTTTCCCTGGGCGAGTTTTCTGGTTGTAAGTGTAAGAGTATACGGCTGCTGTTGGACTTTGTGTCGTTATACTTCTACACAGCAGAAGTTCCTAAAGTGATAGTACTTTATGAGGGCTATCTAGAGCCTTAAGCTCTTGCATGAGACCCTTCATGTAACCTCTTTGCAACAAAGGTCATAGCATAAATAGTAATAATAACTTAAGGATTGTTCTATATTATTGAAGAGTGAAAATCTAGATCTTCTGGCACAAATGGGTCTCCATCAATAAACTATATTCTCCTATAGCTTTGTGTAAGGCACTAGGGAGAAATCTGGTCAACCAGATATTAGTTCTCAATCGCTTTAACCAAGAGTCACATCCCTAATTAGGAGCCCAGGTTATGGTTGGTTAATCAATTAAACTCCAAAATAGCAAGATAACAATTTGAGTATTTAACTTTTTAGCATTGCATTACATTGCACTGCAAAACATAGCATGTCTTGCTATTGGCAAACATATATACCTCCTGGTTGCCCCTTGGTTGTAAACCTTATGCTCCATCTGGTTGCTTGAGTAGAATGGAGCTGACGCAGAACATTCATTTCATTGAAATGAATAATGCAATAACTTATCCGCATTCCATGAACGTCTGGCTTGTTTCTAGTTTCTAAAAAATGATATGAATTTGCTACACCAGGACTTTTCATACTGTGCCTTACCATTCAGCTTTGAACATGGACAAGGAATCATTATCATGATTGACACCCTAGGTTTACTACTTACTAGCAGTCGGTTCACTTGTTCCTCTTCTCCTAAAGATGCATCCGTACATTTAAGTTAATTTACTAGTAGTTTTTTTTTCTTTCTGATTTTTGTTCTGTTTACATTCATGAGCAGAGAAGAAACAGGGTGATTAGATGATCAAAACTTATTATTTTGAGACCTCTTGTTTGAGAACTGGCTTCAAAGAGAAACAGTTTGAGCACACCAAGCTACTTCTGCTAGCCCCTACTCTCTGATTCTAAAAAACATGCAATAAATAAGGAATATACGAGAATGTTGTTGTTTCGCAAGAATATGTTCCAGGTTCTACTGGAGGTGGCAGTGGAGAATGTAGACACCATGTCTGTGGAAGATATGATGGGGAGTGATTTCAACTCGAGGTGGCAGTAGCTAACATGTGCCAGTTTCTACTCAAGGTGGCAGTGTAGAATGTGGACACCGTGTTCCATGGCTATGGCAGATATGATGGGAGTGATTTTTTTAAAAGGTGGTGGGGTGAGATGGAAGTTTATGGTGATGAATATGCTGGGTTAGGACTGCTAGGAATTTCCGTATTGCTAGATGTTGTAATATAAACATTTGGGTTGAAAATTGAAAGGGCCTATGTGTAAAATAATACATTTAGGAGTGGAAAAAGCACCTCTGTGGTTTTACTGGAATGGTATTCTGTGAGAAGTAAGCGAAACTATTCAAAAGGAATTATCCATTGTCTAAAAGTATGGTTCCTACCATACACAACATCAATAAATTTTGTTATATCTTTTATTCTGGCATTGACTGATTGCCATCATGCCTGGCTGAAATATATTTTTTAATCTATGGCAAACATCAACATTACCACCAAACTTAACTATTTTTCTTTTTCAAGAAAGAATTTTGTATCAAGTATTGGTCCACATATTTTTGCAGATAAAGGAATTCTTGCAAAATTGATGGCTGCTATAGAGTTCCCCTATTCTTTTTATGTGATCATAAGATTCCATTATAGAAGGGTGTTTTATAGAACAGTAGGGCCGTCTATGATTGAGGGGCTGAACTCTAGGCCACAAAAAACATGTACCCAAATGAGTAGCAAAGATATTGAAGTCGATGTGTGGACAAGCGAGGATGGCTTGGTTGAGGATGTGAAATATCTTGGATTGAAGAAACACGGACGCAACATCACTCGATATGTTTTACTTTAGTAGTCTTCAGCTTGGTGTTATCTGCACCATGAAAAGGTTAAACTTCTATTGGGAGAGGGGCACTAGTAGAGTGGGGAAGACCAGAATTAACTACGAGGGAGGTAGTCAAGAATCAAGATACACTTGCAGGAGCGTAATGCATCAAAGGACTTGACCTGAGATAGGGGCCAGGAAGGATGCTAAGTCATGTTCCTGAGCTTTTATTATTTCATCGTTTTTCCCATTTTATGATCTGTACCCTTTATAGTACCCATCTAGTTTGATAATAGTTTTGATATTTCATTTGTTGCTGTAGGCTAATTGGCTTGTGAATAGACTTTCTTTTCTCAACTTCTGTTGCTTTGGAGATTATTTATACTTGCTTATTAAATCTATGACTTTGGACTTTGGACTTTGGACTTATAGGTTATTGTTATTATGTGGTATTTTAGCTGGTGACTCTCTAATCCTACCTCTTGTGCTACCTCCAAGCAGATTACGACCTGAAAGCGGAAGATGCAGTTGATTATGAAGATATTGATGAACAATATGAGGGACCAGAAGTCCAAGCCTTCACCGAGGAGGACTATCTATTACCGAAATCTGATTTTGTTTCTACGACAGTACCGCCAGTTGCCTCATCTTCTTTGTATGATGATGATAATTATGACGATGATGAAGAGGAAGAACTACAGAAAGAACTTGATCGGGTGGATAATAATGACCATGTTCAAAGCACTTCTTTATCAGGTTTAAGGATATGTAGAATTGTCTCTTATCTTTTTGCGATCAACTTCTTTAATGTTCAAGTGTCACCAAATCTACAGAAGCTTGTGTAGATATGATGGGTGCATCGTGTTAACTTTTTGTTTGAATTCTCGATTAAGTTGCTTCTTGCCTTGATGCTTAGCCGTTGGAAGCTGATTTGCTTTAGGTCTATTTAAGTACCACCATTCATTAAGTTTACTTCTATCTATAATATACCTGTGGACGTGTTCCATATTTATCTATCTAGTTACAGTTTGACATTTTTTTAGCAGGATTTGATAGTTATAATCAACAAGGTGATTGAAGTTGATTCAATTGATGTCACTTGAAATTATAGTTATGGTGATGTTCCATTTTGTTTGTCACGTGCTTATGGAGATGATTCATATAATTTATCTAGTTAAAATATGACATAGGATCGGGTGGGTATTCGAATCATTTACATGAAATTATAGTTGCTTAAATCAAGAACTCTTGAGTTCATGAATTATAAATTTGAAGGGCCATAGAGAACGGTTTGTCAACTTCTTTGTTTATTTGTCCTAGATTCCTCGATTACGGTTCTTAATTTCTTTTTCCTACATCAGCTTGTATCTTATGTAATTGCAGTTAGATTCATGACCAAACGGTCACATGCGTGAAATTATTGTTGTTTAAATTCACAATTATGGGTTTGAGAACTTAGAATTATGAAGGGGCCTATAATGAACAGCTTTTCAACTCTTCGTTGCTTTCCCATGGCACATTCCTCCAAAAAAAATTCTGACACCAATTCATTTCGTATCTTACATAAAATACATTTAAGGAGTGCTGAGTAATATCAGTATTTGTTTCTTCCATAATTTTGGTTACTGGAAACAGAAAATGGACCAGCTTGTGTTTTTATTTATTTCAATGGATTGGAGGGAAGAGAACCATCACAGAAGGATAAGAAAAATATTTTCGTAAATGTAGTAATCTAGTACCATTTATTGTACAAGCTTGTCTGACTATTATGAGTTTTATTGGGAGCAGGATTAGAGAGTGAGCGCTGATATGTAGAAAAACTAGGCTATTTCTATCCATAGGACCTTCCCACATATAAAAGATTGGGTTAAGGGAGGTCAGTTCCAATGCTGATATGTATAAAAACTAACGTCTCAAATTTGGGTTTAGGGAGGTCAGTTCCAACATTGTGCAAATCCATCTGATGAATTGAAGCCAATTTTTTGTTCGCTTGGAGGTTTGAACCTGCCTATAAATTGTGTTCGGGTTATATCCAGTTTTGGGTAGTGGACAGGCCAGTTAATCTTTCCATTACTGTTTCATAAAGCCCTGAATGCCATGTCCATTTGACATGAAGGAGGGAGATCTTGGTAGCTTTTCCACCTGATGAGGTCATCATGTCTAATGGAGTTCTTGGGAGCCACTTGATCTGGCTTTTTTATCATTGTGCTCGCTGCATCAACAGCATCCATACATTTTTGCATTCTGTAGCTCAAAATATTCAGGTGTTAATTTCATGGCCTTGTGCCTACAATCTTGAAGAATATATGTGGGCATCTTTTGTATCTTATGAACAAAAAGCTATTGTTATTTTCTGGTACACTCCAAATGATTTTCCTCTTTAGATGGAGTAATTGTCTGAAGTGTTCCTCAACACAATGCTCAAAGTAGGCATAAGAACAATTGGGTTAGAATACATGACAGACTAATTCTTTTCAATTTTTATATTAATAGGGAAAAATAGAATTGGAAATCATTTGACAGACGGCCAATAAAGATTAATCAGTATATCATGTGTATAGTGGAGATCTATATTGCATCTTGTAAAGGCATTATGTGTGCTGCTGTTGTCTAGTTATCCCTACCATTTCTTGGATTTCGGATACACATGTGATGTAACAACGGGAATTCCTTAACCCTTTCCTTTTTGTTCTTGGTGTAACTTATTGATTCTCGCTTTTAGGTGAGGTCGATAACAACCTGGCAGTGCTTTCTCAAGGGAAATACTCTCCCGAGGATGGTAGTGGTGCAATTGAAATAGAAAACTCAGATCCTGATGTTGTGGAACTGCAGAAGGTTAATACATCATTTGTGTGTATGTGTATTTTGTTATATCAAAGTATATTTATACTCTGGATGTTGGTTGGTTTTTTTCTTTTCCCAAGCTCCATTTCCCTTGTTTATGCACTTTGTCTGAGCTCATTGTTCATTATTTTGAAGATATATCTTCTATGTTTCAGTATTGGTTGGGTATAGTGATAAGTGGATTGGAAGTAGCTGCTATTAAACTTAAGGTACCTCAATTGGAATTGCTTGTAGGTCACTTGCAAATGAGGAGCAGAAATAATGTATATTCATAAGATGGATACCGTCAGAATTCTTGACATCAGTCTTGTTTGATAGTGGTTGCTTAAATTCCCGACGGTACCATTTTTGTACTTATTTGTCCATGAGGCGACTTGATGCCATACCATATGTATGAATGCCAGGAAGTCCCAGGCATGGGTTCTCTTTGTATCTACAAATCTAATCCATGTCAGATAAAAGTCTCAATTAAGATGAGTGTTTATAATTATCTATCCGAAGTCTGGGCCTGGGTGAACATCGAACTCCAAGCTTGCATACACACACACACACACAGAGGGGTACGTTCAAACGAGAACGCTAACTATTTAAGAAAACAAGAAAAAGGTCGTTAATGTACAAAATCATACATGATCCGGGCGACTTTGACCTGCAACTTAAGTGGCCTCTAAAGTCGCCCGCTTCCTTTTAATGTAAAATCACATGTGCTTTTGTACATTAAAGACCTTTTTCTTGTTTTCTTAAATTGTTAGTGTTCTCGTTTGAACCTTCCTCTACATATATATATATATATATATATATATATATATATATATATATATGGTGTGTGTGTGTTCATAACGAGATTGCTTCCCTCACCACATGTCTTGGATTCTAGTTTTAATCTTGTTGCGTTCTTCTTCTTCTTCTTCTTTCTCCTTTACGCTCCTCTTTCTCATTCTTGAATGCTTGTATGGCATATGTTTCATGTTTTATAATCTGATGGAATTCATTCATCTTTTGTTTACAGGATGACACCATTATCTTAGAAGAGCCATTTGAAGCTAAAAGTTCAACACCGCTGCCTGTTCTATGCGTAGAAGATGGGAATGTGATCTTACGATTTTCAGAAATTTTCGCTATCCATGAGCCTTTAAAGAAAGCTGTAAAGAGGGAACAGTGGTTTTCTGTTCCAAAAGGTATTGATTTCGTTATTTTAAGATTTAAAGAAGCAACTTGATCATCATTGTCAAATATTTGTACATAGAACACGAGTGTGCAGCTTACCTTTTCATGTATCTGCTCACTGGCAACAAATGATGCAGCTTACTTTTTCCATGTGTCTGCTCACTGGAAACAAATGAGATTAATATGATTGATCATATTTCTGTTTGTGTATGGTATTCTCAGTTGAATAGCTTACTTGCATGACGTAACCTGTTGCTCTGTTATAACATTTGCATGTATATTACAGAAAAATATACGGCCATGGATGTATCTGATATTGTGGAGGAGGATGAAGAGGCATTTCTGAAGGGATCTTTAGAAGGTTTTTCTTATACGAGACGGGCACATGTATTTCAAGATGATTTATTGACGTTACAGGAGGATAAACAAGAGCTTCCAAAATCCAGGACTGTTGATGCAGATGAAACGGGGGCTCCAGAAGTTGATGATAAGAGGAAAGGCTATTTTCATGATGTTATGCTGTTGGATGGAAACACAGCATCAGATTTGTCTCTGGATTGGAATAAAACTTTCTGTGATGATTATTTCCCTCTCGATCAGCAAGACTGGGAAAATAGGATCATCTTTGATAATTCTCCAGCTGTAAGTGAAACTTCTGGTGGAAGTTGTGAGATCTCTGGACCCGAGTTTGAAGCTATAGGAAGTAAGGAGTTTCACTCATTGAATGGGCCATTGAAGTCCAAGACACAGCTTGATTTGAGAGCTGATGAGGAAGATAATGGTCATTTTTGTCGTAGCCGTCCTGTTTCTCTAGAACCATTTGGGTCAAGAAAATCTCCAAAATCATACAGCTCCTCTGAAGAAGCCATTTATCATCCCCAACTTTTGAGGTTAGAGTCTCGGTTGGAAGCAGATGACACAGACCGTTTAGATGGTAAAAAAGACGGTACAGTTGAAAGTGATACCATTAGGCGCTTTAACAAGCTTGCTTTACGCAATAAAGAGGTGCTAAATGGGTCTTGGATGGAAAGAGTAGTTTGGGAACCACATCAATCTGTTTCAAAGCCGAAATTACTTCTTGATCTTCAAGATGAACAGATGCTTTTTGAAGTTTTAGATAACAAGGATAGCGAGCATCTTCAACTTCATGCTGGAGCCATGATCACAACTCGCTCTGCTGAGTCTGCTGGTGGTGATTCATTGGAGCTACATGGTTATGGAGGTCAATCTGGAGGGAGATTTAATATTGCTAATGACAAATTCTATTCAAACAGGAAATCCTCCCAGCAGCTGAAATCACATTCTAAGAAACGTGCAGCACATGGTGTTAAAGTCTTGCATTCAATACCCGCACTTAAGCTACAGACAATGAAAGCCAAGCTTAGCAAGTAAGAATAAAATCTTCAGTTTGAAATGGTTTTTATCAGTTTGTGTTCTCGAGTCATATGAGTTGGTAGAGATCAAGTTGTTGCATGTATTTTGTCTCATTATTTGTCTTCTTTCACCTTGTCATGGCCGTAAAAATAGCTTCTCAAATGCAGCATGTTAACAGGATAGTACTACCCTTTCATGTGAAAGTCGGCAGGCATGCTGTCAAATTGGTGTAGCTTTTACCTATTTGCATCCCATGTTTGTGTAGTCATTGGCTTTCGTAACCTGTTTCTGTTGCTAATACTGCTATTCTTCTGTATTACCATTCTTTGAAGAAACCGAGTTCCAGTATGGTACATTGTCCCGTAATAGTACGATGTTTGTGGCCTGTGTTTCTGGATGTCGCACAATTTTCTTATGGTTTTTGAGTGCACTCACTTTCTTGTAGGGAGTGTTTTTTAGATAATGTTGTCTTAATTTAACGGCATTTGGGTAGTTTACTGTTTTGTACTTTTTTATTGCATCTTCTATATGCTTTCTGGTTGTCACTTTTTTCTTTATGGAAATATTTATTATTTAGATTTTCAATAATACCCTGGTCTTTCATCGCTAAACTAAGTACTATATTAACTCTTAAATACTTTTTGGCTGACAACTATTCCATTTTAGGCAGGTTGCTAGAATGTTGATTTGGTGTGGATAATTTTTTTCTTTATTTTGGATCCTGAGGACTTGGTCAACCAAAGGTCATCCAGCCGTTGCCCAAAAAAATATTTGGTTATCTATATGTGACCAAGACATTTTAACAACTGATTAGTAAGAGACAATGATGTCTTGTAATATGTGAAATGGCAAAATGCATATCCCATGCATATTGTTAGTTTTTTCTTATTGTAGCTGTTGGACTGGAGATGTTGTGAACTAATGCTTTTCTACTATATTTGCAGTAAAGATATTGCGTATTTTCATCGGCCAAAAGCTTTATGGTATCCCCATGATAATGTAGTGGCACTTAAGGAACAAGGAAAGCTTCTTACAAGAGGATCAATGAAAATCGTATTGAAAAGCTTGGGAGGGAAAGGCAGCAAACTGCATGTAGATGCCGAGGAGACCATATTATCTGTCAAAGGAAAAGCTACTAAGAAGCTTGGTTCGTTTTCGTTTCTGCTTGTTTTTCCTCTTGTACTTCTATAAAGTTTCTTATCTTGGTTTCTGGACAATTTCAGAAGTTTAAGCTAGCCTTCTGTTTCCCTCCCCTTTTGGCAGATTTTAAACCATCTGAGCCTGTAAAAATAATATACTCTGGAAAGGAGCTTGAAGATCAAAAATCTCTTGCTGAGCAAGATGTTAGACCGAATTCTTTGCTTCATCTTGTTCGTACGAGAATACATCTGTTACCGAGGGCCCAAAAGCTTCCTGGTGAGAACAAGTCCTTGCGTCCTCCTGGGGCTTTTAAGAAGAAATCAGATCTTTCAGCGAGAGATGGCCATGTATTTCTAATGGAGTAAGTGCTTCAATGTCTTCATGACCTCTTGAACCTCAATATGTTCTTTACGCTTCAACTATGTAACTTATATTGTTTAGTTTTGATCACATATTTAATAGGAGTTTGGAATAGATAAGAAGTGTTGCAAGTGAGAAGCCTATAGAAAACACAACAGATGACTCCAGATTTCCATGGACATCTGTATTGTCTTTTCAAATGACACATAATTGATTAAAATGAAGATGACCAATATCGGTTACCTTCCTACATGGCCTACAAATGATTATGGTCCTTGGATATATTTGAAACTTTCCTGTCCAGTGCACCACAAAAATGGTAGTGTACAATACCCAAGTCAAGTACCATATCATGTGCATCGTGGAGCATCGATGTCTTGCATATGTTTGGTATTTAATGCTTCAGGCCTAGGTGCGCATGTTTGATGTTTCACAATGACTCAGATATCTGTAATAACTCCATGTTAAAAAGTTGTTATGTGTAGGAGACTAGAACTAAAGCAATGAAAAAAATTCATCCAAGTGAAGTAATAGTTGCATATCCAAAAGGTTCTTGAACATGGAGCTGCACTTAGAAGGAGCCTAGGTAGGCTGGAAACATTGATGATTGCTCACCTGGTTCCTTATTCTTACCAGCTCTATGTTTTTATCCCGTTCTGTTATAGATATTGATGTAATTCCCATTTATATTAAATGGTGGCTGGAAACAATTCTAAAAGAATATTCCAGGTAAGGCGCTGAACCTAGAGAGGATAGTGTTTTTTGGAAGGAAAGAAATAACTAAAAGAGTAGTTTAATAAACATTATACAAATTGTATGTGATTCGGACAGGTAATACTGGAAAGTGACTGATAATATATATATATATATATATTTGAGCATCTTGATCTAGATGGACCTTTAATTCTGGATTGCAGTATAATTTAAATTTATCATGCTGGAGGACCCAAACATGAGTTATGCATGATTTTTTGAGTTAGGTTTCCTCACAGGTGGTTGTGAGAAGTTCTTTTTTGTGACAGAGCTCACACGTCACTCTGATCACTTGCAAACAATTTTCTTCTTTTTAGTAGAATCTGGATGAAGAGATTTTCTTATGTTTTTCAATTCGGTTCTGTTTGTTAAAACATCTGGGACTGGGATTTTTTGATTTTGCCATTGTGGAATAAAAAAGCATCTCCATTGTGGTATTGCATCAAGCTTATTCTGCTTCTTATTGAACTCCTGCGTTGTCTCATTGCATGTTCATCTGATTGGCTCACTCTCTTTCAAATTCTTGCATCTATTTATAAGGTCAATTTCTGCCTCCCTTCATGGTCTTTAGAACATTATGTTTTATATTTGCATTGTTGTTGTCGAAGAGGTTATGCTAATCTAGAATTTGTTATCTTGGCTTTATATGTTTCAACCGTTTTCATTATTATTCATAGTAACTTGAATACTTATTGCTATTGTATTTTCTAGGTATTGTGAGGAAAGGCCTTTACTTCTTGGAAATACTGGAATGGGAGCTCGTTTGTGCACTTATTACCAAAAATCAAATCCTGGTGATCAGGCTGGCACCCTATTGCGTAGCGGGCCTAACAATTTGGGGAACATCCTCACACTTGATCCTGCTGATAAATCTCCATTCTTAGGAGATATAAAGGCTGGTTCAATCCAATCATGTCTTGAAACAAATATGTACAGAGCTCCAATATATCCGCATAAAGTCTCATCGACAGACTATTTACTAATTCGGTCTGCAAAGGGAAAGCTCTCTTTAAGACGCATTGACCGGATTTATGTTGTTGGGCAACAGGTTTTCATATTCTTCCTCAGTAATTGCTTCTCTAATTTCACTATAATTGGAATAAAAAATTTCCATTTCTTAGTCTCTTATGTTTATCTTCAGATGTTTCATTCATTGTGTGCTTCCATTCAATATGGGAAAGTGTTCTTGCTATTTGCATAGACAAAATGGAAGAGCTTTTCCATCTTTATATTCTATATCTACTTATCAGTGTTCCTTCTCTGATATTATTAAATTCATATATTTACTTATGACAGCTGTCATTTTTGTGTTGGATTGACATGTAGAAGTTCTTTGAGGTTTGTTGTATCCTTACTATTTTGGAATGTTTCGTGGTTTACTTGTGGCAATTGTGCTTTATGTGCAATATCCAAATGTGGATGTTCTTTGAGGTTTGTTGTAGGATCGAGTTTTAGTATTTGAAGGTAGGAACTTTTAGATTGGCTGTTATTTCTGTCGAACATTTATATTTGTTGGTTGAATCTGACCTATGATTGATGGACACTTAGCTACTAGTGCAATACTAGTTTAATCTTAAAAATCAGGAAATATATTACGTCGTGTAACAGGTGCTGAACTTTTTTTGCTTGTGTGAGAGCTTATGAATCGTGGCTCATTCTGAAGATGCCATTTATGATAAAATGGGTGGCCTTTTATCAATTACAGTTAAAAAATTGATTACATCTTTGAAAAATGAGATCTCGTGGCACAATTGTGAGTCCCTTTAATATAGAGACAAGTTTGATTGGCCATCTGTTTCACTTCTGTCCAGGAGGCAAAAGGATATGATCTAACAAGCTAACCTATTGAGAAAGAACCCGTGTGCAAGCTTTTGGGGATGTTTTTAAATAAGAAGCACATACACATATCTCAGCCTTCATTGACGTGTGTATTGTCTTTAGAATTAGCCCAAGTTCAATTCTTCTGCCTAGGCTATAACTAAGAGTTCATTTATATTACCAATATCTGTTTTATTATTTATAGTATCCTGACCTGGTGTAAAATTATCTTTATGTTCTTAAACACTTCAATTTTTCTGTAGATTGCGGAATTTATTTGTCTAAATGTTCTGTATCTGTAGGAGCCTCACATGGAGGTAATGTCTCCTGTATCCAAAGGTGTTCAGATGTATAATATGAATAGACTACTGGTGTTTATGTATCGTGAGTTTCGTGCTCTTCAAAAGCGTGGATTGGTGCCTGCCATCCGTGCAAATGAGTTATCAGCACAGTTTGCAAATGTGGCCGAAGTTTCTCTAAGGAAGAGGTTAAAGGTGTTCTGTGATTTCCAGGTGATAGTTGATTCTCTGTTGCAAATAAGTTTGGCAGTTAGCACATTGAATAAGCATCCTTGCAAATAAACTGGATAGGAGTCTGCAGGATACAATCTGGCCCTATATTTTGGAAAGCCTGTTTTAGGTTCTTTTTGCGCTAAAACATGTCTAAAATAATTAAAGCCGATCTGGACTGACCTATTATTTCCTCTATGTTTTTGAAGCAGCATGTTTCGTAATAAGCATGTATTTGATTTATCTTGGTCATGTAAATTATTTGGAATTGAGAAGTGTGATAAACCTTTAAATAGATATCTAATAACTCCATAAATTGATGACATTGTATATATCATTAAAGAAAAAGACCACCCTTAGAACATTTGTAAGGGTGCATTTCGTATGCGGGACATAGACAGAAAAAAACTTGTTGCCTCCTGTTTGACACGACATTAGACTGGACTGAGTGGACAAAAATGCATATTTCTTGTTCGATCAAAATAGTTGGAACAAAAATCTGGGAGATGGAACAAGTGTGATAAATTACTATACTATGCTTGTCAAATTAAAACCTTAAAACCTTCGACAATTCTTTCATCCGCCAACCTCAGTCTTTCCTGTCCCGTCCAGTCCTGACAAGTCCCGTCCGTGTACCAAACGCTCCCTAAAGTACTTCATAAGTAGCATCAACGACCTGTCCATCAAACTATTGAAAACTAGAACCAAAGCAACATGCTCGTCTGGTTCTTAGTTCATGTTTTCTTTTCTTCTCAAATCTTTGGTTTGGGTTATGTCCGGTTTTGTTCTGGATTGGTATGTTTTGGTTCTGGATTGATGCATAACCTATTGGTAGTTGTATGTGACTAATCGACATTTATGGTTTCTAGCAATCACTAATCTGTTTATGTTTACCATTCCTGATGCATGCGTATGGAACCACCAGAGGGGTTCATATGTTATGAAGCGAAATTTTCGTGTTCCATTGGAGGAGGAGCTTAGAAGGATGGTTACACCAGAAAATGTATGTTTTACTTTTCTTTGTATATGCCGTTTTTGCGTTGAGCTTTTGCTGTTTAACTATGATGATGAAATGCAATGTTTGAAGCTTAAGCTTAGGTGAGCATAACAACTTGAGAACTTGCAAAATGACTATTTAGGAAAAAGACCAACGAGAGATTTTCTTCTACTTCTGAATCATGAATCCATAGAAGATGGCCCCTGTGGACTCCGTGTCTTAGACAATACATTCTAGAGGGCTGAAGAAATGAATTCCGTTCCCAAATATCATATTTGAATTAAACGTCTTCAGGATGATGCTTAAGGACCAATTAGAAGCCATCTCAAGCTGTCAAACACAAGCATTAGACTTCTGTTATTAATAATAAAAAAACATTTAACGGCTTCAATAGTTGGTTAGTTTTTCTGTGATGATCCCTAGTTTTGAAGTCCTACTCAGGTCTGAAACCTAATTTTTGGTTCATCAAATGATTTTCTCTTATCCTTGTCAGCCTTGTCATACAGAAGTTCCTACTAACTACACTGATTATAACCCTAGGAAGCAGGATATACCTTCAGTTTACTAGATATACATAATTGAATTGGAGCTGACCTGACTTCAGGGCGAAATAGTCCCACATTGACATATTTGGTGACAGGCTAATCTCTGCAGCAATAGGATGGAGATAGCCACATCAAATTTATTAGTTCCCCTAATAATCCTTCTTAGGCCACACTTTTATGATTTATCTTAAGATATGAGACAGTAACCAAAGTCTGAACGATAATGCTATCAGAATTTCTAACTGGAGATGAGTAGTACTGCTAGTTTATTGAAAAATGAAATACTTCGCTCACTGTGCAGCCTCGATCAGTCCCACACTTTTATAACTAGATAATGCTACTTGGTATTACGATGGATGGTCACACCAAAATCTTCTGCTTCTGGTAGTAATTAATGATCGAGTTGAACGAAGTTGGTCTTATTACCATTATATTCACTTGCTCCAGAATCATTTGTTCATGCTGAAATTAAGAACATTTCAGGTCATTAGCATTTTCACTTCTAGTTTCAGTGGTTGATGTCTCATATCCTTACGCCAATGTTTGACCATAAGAGTTTCTCTAGCAGCTGATAATACTCTAATAACACTGTCTACTAGTCGGTAGAAATTATGCCATATGCAACTGAAGTTTCATTGGTATAGAACCTTAATATAAGATTGGAAAGTTGTAGTGACAAAACTAACAGGTCCTGAATCCCTTACCATAAGAGATGTCTTTTTTTTTTTTTTTCAAGCATCAGTCTCCCAATTAGTTTTATTTGTACATTGGTGGATTTTTGTTGTTGGGGTCGTAGGGGTTCCAGTCCAGCTGAAGGTGGACTTCATTGGTGCATTGTGAGGGATGGGCATTGCCATGGAGGTGAAGATGGTGGCAATTGTTTTGAAATAACTTAGTAGGGGTGGTTCATTTTTTCAAATTCCTTGAGAAAGTAGATGTGTTGTAATTTTCATATTTTAATTAATTAGGGAGTGAGAGTGAACCTGTTTACTGTGCTTCCATTTGTCAAGCGACGGTCACTTTCTTTCTACTTCTGTGGTCTACCTTTACAAGCGTGCTAGTAGCAGTGACAAAATCTGGCAATCAAAGAAATAGATTGAAGTAGATTTCTTTGTGTGGAATTACTCAATTGTCAAATGCATTTAGGATGACAGAATAACACCTAACCTGGTAAGTTTACAAGTTAAAAGTATTAGCTAATGTTTTTATTTGCATTCCCTAGCAAATCAAAAGCTGCAATGTTTACCACCATGTTTATCTTGCATACTGTCTAGTGATACCTTGGAGTAATTTTGTTATTTGTGCTAAATTTTTTCACTTGGCTGAGTCATTATTTCTCGTCATTGAGTAATTTTATTAGAACCTTTTGCATATGGTATATAGGTGAATATCTTCTTTGACTGCTTGCTTTTATGTTTTCTTCCCTTAGGTCTGTGCCTTTGAAAGCATGCTAGCTGGCATGTATAGGCTCAAACGTCTGGGTATCAGCATGACTCATCCAGCTGGTCTCTCCTCTGCAATGAATCAGCTTCCTGACGAAGCAATTGCTTTAGCGGCTGCATCCCACATTGAAAGAGAACTACAAATAACTCCCTGGAACTTGAGCAGCAACTTTGTTGCGTGTACAAATCAGGTAAATTCAGTTGGCATAAGGTTTGCTCATATGTGAATTTTTAAAGCAATCGGCGTAACCGGACATCACTTCTTCTGTAAGATAGTTGTATGCTTCAGCAATGGATTCACATCTAATCATCATGGTGCTACTCTGAGTACGTTGAACACCCTAGACCAAAAAGTTATTCAATTTTGGTAAGATAAATTGTGAAGGGAATTGCTTTCACATGTAAGAGAAAAAAAACATTTAAGGAAACGGCAATTGCCAAATGGGGAAGATCCATATTATCCCAGTGCTGCACCATGTTACATTTTTATCTTTATGGACGAGGAGAAAGGAACCTTGTTATATAAGGAATCGTTAACTTGGTGTCATTTAAGACCTTTTCTATTTCCTGTTAGGTGTAGCGGCCTTGGAGTTCTATCCCTTGTTAGCAGGTCGTTAACATGCTATATGTATACATATATACATACATATGTATGCGTGTATTCTTTTTGTCTAAGCTTAATTATCTTCCTAGTGGATCTTCAGTTGGAGGTGTACCTCATTAACAATGCATCTTTTGAACCTCCATCAATTGCTTAATGGTGAGTGTTCACTTGAGACTATCCTGCAATTTCAACATGCTCTAGTTCTAACCTTTAATATTTGATCCATCTTAATAGTTGTAATTTACACACAACCCCATATGCATACAAAGGCACATATGAATGTATGTCATCTGTTGTGTGTGTGTGTATGAGCGCTTACTCAGACCCATCATGCACTTTTGGCATGCATTAGTTATAACCCTTAAAAAATTTAAGATTGCTTTTATTTGATCATCCTTAATAGTTGTTGGTTATTTGTAATTTTGTACTAATATCATGAACGTGTGTGTGTATGTGTGTCGGCCTAACTATAAAGAGTCTCTGTTTTGTAATGTACTTCAAGAAATTTGAACTATTTCCTCCATATCCCAGGAAAAGATGTTGGACTATTTTGACTTTCATGTTTATATAAATACGTCATTTGGGAAGAAAACCCCCATCATTCTAACCGTGCTTGATCAGTTGGGAGTTGTCTTTTTCTTTTAGAGGAATAAATGAGTTGGCTTGTTTTTGACGACCAGTCGACCCCATTTCTTTCTTTCCTCGATGCTTCTTGCTTTTGAGCCAAAGTTTGCTGGGTAGTGTCTGTGAAGTTAAATCTCTGTAACTGAATACAGAAGTTAATCTCATCATCTTCCCATCATACCGTAATGAACCAAATAAAATTGGTTATATAATATGGGGGTTTTGTGCGTCTCCCTGAACACGGAAAATCTGTCTGTTCCATGCTTTTTGAGTGATAACATGAGAAACTGTTTTCTCATTCATGAAATTACTTGCCTTCATTTAACATTATATTTTTTAAGATTGGCTCGATTTTTGTACCTTAGTCCCTGTGCATTACCAAGGAAATCACCCAATTGCTTATTTGGTAGAGATGCTGCTACTGACACCTTAGCAGTTTCTCAAAGGACTTTATTTACCCAATCCTTCATATAATACTTTTTAATTGCCCTAGTTTTCTCATTATATTACAAGTTTGGCTCAATTAAAATTTTACAATTCAGCATTCAGATAATATCTAGTCTGCATTACCTATCTGGAATTGCATTTTTCTTGTGCACTTACTAACAATAAATAGGCACTAAATATGCGTTGGCTGTCATAAACTACTAATCTCTGGTTGAAGGCTTATTTTCATACTTTGTTGTTCAGGATAGAGGAAATATTGAGCGCTTGGAGATTACTGGTGTTGGTGACCCATCTGGTCGAGGCTTGGGATTTAGTTATGTTCGCACTGCTCCGAAGGCACCAGTGTCGAATGCTGTAGCAAAGAAAAAAGTAGCTATAAATCGAGGGGGCTCTACAGTGACGGGAACAGATGCTGATCTACGTAGATTAAGCATGGAAGCGGCAAGAGAGGTTTGCCTTTTATTTCCGGAGCTAATAGCTCATTTATGTATATATTTTTCAGATATCATAATTCATTAGCTGATAATATATGAACTGTTCATAGAGTTTCTAAGATGTGATGCTTCGTGAAATGTTTGTGTGGTACTACCTAATTTTTGTTATGGCATCAAATTATCAGCTGTTAGAATGTTTCTTCTGCTATATTCTTTTAGCTTTCCACTTTCAAATTTGGTTGCCATGCTTGAGTGCTCTATATAATGCTTTCATGTTCGCATGATATTAGTTTGTGCGCTCTTACATTAGTTTGTGCATAATGGAATTTTCAGAATTGAAATGACACTACAATGATCCTACAAGACAAAACCGCTTGAGTGCTTAATTACAACTGCTTTTCTTGAGACATTCCCATGTCATCTGGTCCTTATGCTTATTCTGTTTGAAATCATTCGTTATTCTTGATGTGTGGACATTGAAGATACTGCTTAGAAAAATAGACATCTGTTATTTGGCAATCTTGCATTGTAATTATTTTGTGTATGTGTGGTTTATTGGTGATCTCCTTGTTATTATGCATACTTATTTCCTCTTCCTCTATACTGTTAAACTAATATTTGACGTATGTTAGAGTAGATCTTGCTTCATAGTTGCAATTTGTAGCCTTTTTGAAACAAAATAGTTGATTGAGCTTATGTTATCCATTTGTATTGGTTGGTGAAATGTGTTAGATCATAGGTATTTTCTAAACCAATATACTATGCAACAGGTTCTCGTTAAGTTTAACGTTCCAGAGGAGCAGATCGCAAAACTTACAAGATGGCATCGGATAGCAATGATCCGAAAGCTTTCTAGCGAACAGGCTGCTTCAGGAGTAAAGGTGGATCCAACAACCATCAGCAAGTATGCACGTGGCCAAAGAATGTCCTTCTTGCAGCTTCAACAACAAACTAGAGAAAAATGCCAGGAAATTTGGGACCGACAAGTTCAAAATCTTTCTGCCATTGATGGTGAAGAAAATGAAAGTGATACCGAAGCAAATAGTGATCTGGATTCATTTGCAGGGGATCTTGAAAATCTGTTGGATGCAGAAGAATGTGATGAAGGGGAAGAGGGCAACTATGAGTCCAATAATGAAAATTTAGTGGGTGTTAAGGGGCTTAAAATGAGAAGGCTGCCTTCGCAAGCTCAGGCAGAAGTGGAAAATGAAGATGAAGCAGCTGAAGCAGCAGAATTATGCAGAATGCTCATGGATGGTACAATTTCTATCCTGTTAAGTTTGTGTGTTATGCTTTGACCTTTGAGGTCACTAGCTGATATCGAACATCAAAATGATATGTTATTTTAATTTTTCAGAACACAATAAAGTTGATACCAGCATTAAATTTTAAAAGCATTTATAAATAAAAAGATGATCAGTGGGCAATATATGACAAATATTATATCAATTACTCACCTGAAAAATGCTAGGTTTGACCTTCAAATTTCAAGTTTGTCTTCTCTGGAACAGCATTTGTTTTGTTTTAATTGGCTTAAATGGTATATGGGATCATACAGCAGATGATGAGGCTGAAAGGAAGAAGAAAAAGGTCAAATCAGTAGGGGGAGATATGGGATTGACGGCTTTGCAGCAGTTAAATCACAATTCCAAAAACAAGGAGAGGTTGAAGGCCATCAACTCAAATTTGAAGCCTATGTCTGGTATCACCAGACCTGATGGATCATTTTCGATAAACGAGAATGCTGTTAAATCGTTAAAAGATGTATGCATCTGTATTTCATTTTCGGTTATACATGTATAAGTTTGCATATATATATGCAGAGGGTCATGATCCATATCTATCACTTAGATTTCCATTGAATGCTTATTTGGCCAGAAAATGCCACTACAGCTGAAATTATGCTTTCTCTGGTCTAATATTAGATTGGATAAGCTGATTAGTCCATTTGGAGGGATTAAATGATTTGCCTCAGATACGCTGGATAGAAACCAATCCGTTGTTTGTGGATCAGCGCCCATATACAGGATTACCGCCTAACATGTAGGGACCACATAGTGAAGTCACTCTCGGCTTGTGTGTTTGTAGGCCTATTCTTTTAAACACATGTTTGATATCTCAAGTATTATTATCCCTCACATATAGGGGTTGTATTATTTTTAGATCCTACAAATGAAACACACAGCATTTTGGGCTCACTGAGGGGACCTACAGGAAGCTTGTGTGTAAGGAGCCTGTTTCGGACACTATTCATCATGTGGGATCCTTAAATACTATTTTTCGTGTATTATTTTGTAATATCTTCCAGTTGTACAATTGATATTCATGATACTGAAGTGAAGTAACAATGTGGTGGCAGGATGAATTATTTCCTTACAGAAAGAACTTTTCTGGAAAGATGAAACCCAAAAAGAAGGATGATCTTGAACAAGTTGGTGGTTTATTGAATAAGAAGCTTAGAATTTTGAATGATGGAATGAACATTATGAAGGTTAGTCACTTGATTCCCTCTATTGCTACATAATACAAAACAGGGTTTAATGATGGAATGAACATTATAAATGAGGGTTGGTTTCCTCTGCTTTTCTTTTTCCCATTTGTATATTGGATGGAACAAAAAAGGTTCAGATGGAAGTTTCTTTTGTTTAGTGAGCGACCTAATTCGGTGTAATCGCAGGTCGGAAATACAAAGAAGAATGCAAGAGAGAGTTTCGCATGTGGAGCTTGTGGTCAGGTATGTTCTATATATGTTATGTCTTCTATTTCTTGGCTGAGTATGGGATGAAAATCTAAAAGACAAACGGGTTATCAGTCGTAGACCAATTCATCAAAAAACCGACTACTGCTAACCGATTTGACAAATATTTGTTTCAGAATTGACTGAAAACCTCAGTGCCAGATTTCTTGTCTGTTATGTGAAAATGAATGTATTTGTCAAACTTGCTAAAGTTATAATAGACCATTAAACTCGCGAATGGCTTGTAACGAATTTATCTTTTGGTAATTATATATTTGTTTTCATGATTTTATACTTTGTTTTTCAGTATGGTCACATGAAGACTAATAAACACTGTCCCAAGTATAGAGAAAATTCTAGCATTCAAGTCGAAAGTAAAGATCCTGAAAAGGGGTCTGCAAAATCTATTAGTTTGGACCCGGTCGCCAAGCCACAACCGAAGAATACCGTAAAGAAGCTTATACAAAAGGGTGGGACAAAACTTGCAGTTGTAGAAGCACCCCCGGAGGAAGAGAAGAGCTCTTTGAAGGCCAAGGTTCTGAAGGTAAAATGTGGTCCCGCCAATAGCAAGATTCAGGAAAAGGCTACTCCCAGCACCTCACAGGTTTCCGATAGACCGGTAACTTCAGACACTGAAACGGTTAATAAATCTTCAGTTAAAGTTAATAAAATTATTTTCTCCAACAAGACGAAAGCTGATGATGTCCAAGTTGAATCTCATAAGCCCTCCTCTCTTGTGATACGGCCACCAGTAGAGAGCAGCAGAAATCTGCCTAGAAAAACAATCGTTATTAAACGACCAAAGGAAGTCTTTGATCTGGACCAGGGTAGTCAGGAAGTAAGCCCGGGACTAGAGCCTAGAAAGACGAAAAGAATCACCGAATTATCTGGTTTCCAAAAGCATAGAGATCATGAAGAACATTTTGTAGAAAGGGTTCGGTCTAATAGAGCGAAAGATAATAGTAATCAGTTTTGGGAAGATGAACAGACATTGAGAATAGCCGAGAGACAGAGAGAAGAGAGGGATAGGTTACTGTATGAGGAGCAGCAAGCGAGAAAGCTAGAAGAGCAGGAGAGGGTTGCTGAGATTAGACGGTTTGAAGAGGACATAAAACGAGAAAGGGAAGAAGAAAGGCGTCAGCGGGAAAAAAAGAAGAAAAAGAAGAACATACATTTTGAGACAAGAAACGACTTTTTAGAGGACACTCGCCCGAGAAGAGATGATAGACGGATCCCTGAAAGAGACCGGACTGCAAAGAGGAAACCCGTTATAGAATTGGGCGGGAGGTTTGGTGCTGAGTACACCCCAACTGTAAAACGCCGCAGAGGAGGTGAGGTAATTCATTCAACACCTTTTCTTGTTTTGCTTATATAAATTATTCCTTGAAAATATTAGTCCTTCTGTCCCAATGAATATTGCTGGAAAAGTGTTTTGACTGTTAACTAAGCATAAAAAACACCTTCCAAAAATTACAAAATTGGGAAACTTGTCGACCCAAAACGATATCAATCTTTTGCAACTATGACATTGTGCACATAGCTTCTGAGTAAAAGATTACCAGAAAAAGGTGGTGTGACGTTCATAAGACAAAAGGCATTGCATATTTTCAGGTGACGAGCAATTGTAGAATAACTGTCCTACTTGCATTTTGTTGTCCAAAATTGCCCATCCTTGTGTTTTTCACTGTTCTGCAATTGTGATGGTGTTTTTCTTTGACAAAAGATGGTTAAAAATTCAAGTGATCAGGATGAAATTGATTAGAAAAATTGCAATATTCTCGAATGAAAAAAAGCATTATAAATATATATAGGGTTGGGTTCCGGTGAGAATGAAAGCTATGGTGAGAAGGGTAAGAAGAGATCTCCACTCTTGGATCAATCCTAATTGAAGATCAACAGTAAGGAGATGCACCAGATCAATTCCCATATCAAGTGCAATTCATGGGGTGGGGGTGAGATTACAAGTGATCAAGGGTTCAAATCCATTCTTATGCTTCTCACCTTAACTCCTATTCTCACACGATCCTTCATGTGTGTATATATACACACACACAAACACACCCACATAAACCAAACAGATGATCCCTGTATATCCCACGTGAAGGTGGGGTCTTGAGGGGGATGATGTAGGCATACCTGACCTTTACTCCAAAAAGGACAGTTGTTTCCATGAAAAGAAGGTTCATATATGACTTTTAAATGTAGGATATACTGCATTTCCCTTTAGAACTAGTAGCCAGAAGCAGAAAGATGAATCTATTATGATATATATGCATCATGTTTTATTGACAACAGGTTGGTTTGGCAAATATCTTGGAGAAGATCATCGATACGCTAAAGGCAAATGAGGTGTCATTTCTTTTCTTGAAGCCGGTGACTAGGAAAGAAGCTCCAGACTACCTGAAGATCATCAACCGTCCAATGGACCTGTCTACGATGCGTGAAAAAGTGAGAAGATTGGAATATAAAAGCCGAGATGCTTTCAGGCATGATATGTGGCAAATTACGTTCAATGCTCATAAATATAACGATGGAAGAAATCCGGGTATTCCTCCCCTCGCCGACCAGCTGTTGGAGCTGTGTGATTTCTTGTTATCTGAATACGACGCAATCTTGGCAGAAGCCGAAGCAGACATAGAGGAGTAAAAATGTAATGTAAAATTGTAAAAAATTACCCTGTAATTTAGTTGAACAAGGGTAAAAGAGTTCTTTTTGGTGGTGATGAGTGAGAATGGGCATGGCTTTACTTGGAGACTTGTATATATGTTAGCATATTGAAATAGGTACATGTTTTGTAAACCATCTGCTTTCTGTACTGGCTGTAGCCTGTATGTGCAAAATTGTGGTGGTGGTGGTGGTGCTTGTTCCGGTCTCAACTGTGATTTTTCGTTAAACTATCTGTTAGCAGCGTGGGCGATTGTCGAATTTACCGGATGGTGATATGGCAAATTTTTTAGACCATATTGATGTTTTGGTTCAAATGATAACATGAGAGCATATTGATGTTTACTTCTTGAAATCATAACATCATACAACACCATCAATAGGCACAAAAGATGTATTAGTGTCCATTTACTTACGACAACATTATCTTTCATCTATGTCATCTTATAAAGTATTTCTATAGAACTCTTAAATTTGATGCCTACTACATTTATCAAGAAATTAAGCACAAATCACTCGTGTATTAAAAGTTATGGTTTGTTGAGCATGCCCCATGTATATAGGCTTGTAAACGGTAAACGGACGAAATTTTTTGTGTTCATGTTCATTCATTAAGTAAATGTGATTGTTCGTGTTCGTTCGTTAAGATGCTAAACGAACGAACACAAATGAACAAAAAGCAATCATCATTACTCATCATTTTGTTCCTCAAAGATAACATAACAAAATGAAAAACTAGGCTATAGAAAGAATTATAATTTTTTTAAATTAATTAATGATTTTACATATTAATGTTATGAGATATATATATATATATATATATATATGTGTGTGTATGTGTGTGTGTGTGTGTGTATAAACAAACATAAAAAGCGTAACGAACATAAACAAATGTAAATGAATATAAATGAACATATGTTTACGAACATAATTGATCGAAGGAGACCAATGTTCATGTTTTTATTTATTCAATTAAACGAATAAAATGCATTGTATTTTAATGAGTCTTTTCTAAATTTTAATATTAAAATGGGCTTCCCTCCATATTAAAAATGGGTTAAAAACTTTGAAAAGCCCGTTGATATTTATGAAATGTTATATTCATATTTCATTGGTTGTGTATCCATGCAATGTGACGGGAGCCGTGAATTTTAACGATTTTGAATTTTTATTGGTTTTATTAAATATGATTTAACGATGATATAAGTTACACTTGATATTTATATATTAATACAATTTGAATAAATAAGAGTTTTGGTTCCAATTACAGTCTATCGATAAAAAAATTGTATGACAGTTTAAAATCCAAAATATTTAATATCCAACATATTTAAACGACTCCACAAATGTGTTCGATTTACACTAGAGCAAAGAATTAAGAGATCGAGAGCGAGACCGTGAGTTTTATAGCAATTGAATGAGAAATGAATGTGATAACTTTCAATAACTCATGATGAATATTGAGCAGTGATATCGTGTTGCTGATAAAAAGCTCTTGGAATGACAAATATTCAAATCTCATTGAAGATGGAACAATCTTTGAATATCAGTTTGGATCTCACCTTGAGGGATGGGAAAGAAGACATAGAGGTATGAAAGAATGAAAATATGAGTAAAATATGTCAAAAGTATCTTGGAAACATAAAAAGAAAGGGTAATAATTTGCATTGGTAACTTATATTATAAAATATTTTAATTGTTGACTAAGAGATTTTAAGACTGAATGCATAAAGTAGTAATATTTAATGTATTACTAGAAGCGTACTCGCACAATGCAGCGAGATACATCATGATTTTAATATTTCATTTTATTCCTTATCTCAGTCGATGTTATAATATGACTTTATGTGATTTTGAGAAA